ATATATATATATATATATATATATATATATATATATATATATATATATATATATATATATATTTACTGAGTGGTACATCGAAATATATCGCTCGGTATACAGTATCGTACCGTACCGAGCAAATCTCGAAACTCTGCTACAGTACAAAATTTCAGTCCTTGGTTTTGGATGTAATATCTTCCCGACTTTCGTCTTGGAAGCTAATATGGAACCAGTCCTTTCAAAAAAATATACAATTTTATATTTTATTTTGAGACAAAGGAGAACAACAACTGATCCTATTTCATTAAAAATCTGAATAAGTAATAAACAGACCAAAGAAGAAAAAGAAAAGAAAGGGAAAGAAATGGAACATAAAAAAGAGGTCTCATAAACTAATCCACAAAATCTTCAAAACAATGAATTTTCCTTTTAGGTACAGCGTGTTATAGTGTATAAATTTTATCGATCAATTTCTTCTTGATAAAAAGTAGTTTGATTGCTTTTGTCAGTAGTCTCTGTTTAGTTGCATCATGTTTGAAAAATAAAGAGTTCTATTCAGTATCTGCAGATATAAATTCATGCTAATATTTGTCCACCCATTTTTGTTTTTTTATGACTGATATTATGAATTTATAGTAATCACTAGTAAGAAAGTGAGTTGATTTAGCTTTAAATCATTAGAATATTGTACAGACACCTTTAGGACTCGTTGCATAAGTAGTTTCAGTTCAAATTATATACATTTTTTGATAATGAGAGGATAATATCACCAGGAATAATCAGAAATCAATTAAAAAACATGATGCATAATGAAATTATATCAATATCCTCACTTGTGTGGAAGTATGGATGACTATGGCATGACTTTATGACAAGATTCAGATATACAAACAAATATAAAAAATGATAAGACATACAAATACAACAGTAAAATATATGCTATATATTAATATCACATAAGGTAAATCTTTTTTTTAATAATGTTAGAATATCTAGTTGGATATCATGATAGATAATGCTTAGCAGCCCTAATACATTAATTTCTAAGTAACATACTTCCAGAGTCCAAAGAAATACCAATAACATATTATAATGGAAGTATCATCATTATTTTTTATTTTATTAATATAATCGAATGCTTGATACAACAGTCTACCTAATCTTGTGTCCATATTGTCTATAATTAAAACATCATGTAAGGAAAAAACTTCCGAGAATTATCCACAAAATATCCCAAATCATTCTAAAAATTCCTATTTTTTCTGTAATTATTTCAGAATCAGATAAAAGTACCTACCATTGTGGATGCAGTAAGCATCCATGTTTCATAGCTTTGCTTTTATTTATTTCTTTTGCTTGTCTTATGCAAATTGCAATAAAAAATTGTGGACTTATTCTTCTGTATCTTCTTAAATTATATAATTTTTGATCTATTATATGATACAAAAATCTGCTGAAATAACAGATTAAAACAGTAACTTTGTAAATGCTCTTTACATCTAAATTTTCATCTGGTTTCTCTATGCAAATATCTTCCTGTATGTTATAAATGTATTATTTAAAGAAATTTACTACACATCTTAAAACTTAACAGCTTTCTTTTTACAGGTACCTTCTGGACCATGGCATGTTGCATCCAACTGAGAAATACTATCCATTGCGCCCTGAACTTGCAGAGTCTACATTTTACCTTTATCAAGCGACTAGAGGTTACACTTGTTTTACTTTGTTTTTATCATCAGAACTAAATAACTTTGGATGTTTACTGTTTATAAAATAATTTGAGACACTTTGGGTCAATCACTGGGGGCCCATTACATTATGGTCTTCAAACAGTTAATGTGACCCTCTACTAGTCTTTCACCCCCCACGCCCCTAGGGAAAGATGCATGCAGAAGTCCACTTGATATTGGTGAAAAAAAACAGTACTCCTGGCTTGATGCATGTGATCTTTTAGCAAAAAAAAAGAATTTAAGCTTGGTTGTAGTAGGTCTGAATTCTCAGCCATATAGGAGAAAATATCAACACCCACGGTGACTCACCAAAAACTCAAATTTGGCAGCATTCATATAATAATTTTTAAAATATTGTATAGGTCAACCTCATATGAATTTATATTTATATATCAGCTAATAGTAAGATTGTGGTTCACTTATCATTTATGCATTATTATGTTCCAATTGCTTTATCTAGACTATAAAATATTAAAAATAATTCCCCCTTCACAAATTACCTTCTCTCTTAGGGAAATCTTTATGGAAGTACCTCATTTTTTAGCTTATGTTGCTATCTGCTTCCTAATGATAATATTATTGTGTTTATGTCATTTTATGATTTTCTTTGGTTTACTATAGTTTATATAGTTTGCCTTTGTTATATTTCTAATTTTTTTCTTCTTAATTTCTACCTTGATGCTTCATTTGCATATATCTTTAAATGGTCTATTATAGTTTGAATTATTTCTTATAGCAGTTACGACAATTGTTGTTCTTTGCATTTTTTTGTTCGTATTTTTATTTTTTGTTTTAATTGATCCCTAACTTCGTTTCTTGTCGGTTATAGCACCCTATAGTAATCTTAATTTTGATTTTTTTTATCATTAGGGATTCTTGTATGCGTTGATACCAAGGTTTGACATACTAAAGCATACCGTTCGGTATCGGCGATTATGTACCAGTCTGACAGAGGATCAGTACGGGCGATACATCAGTACACTATGGTGTACCGAGTGTCGGTACGCTCGGTACAACTCAATACGTATCATATCAATAGCTGATCGGTACACCGGTACGGATCGGTAATACGAACCATAGTCGATACCCTTTAAACATATAATTTTTTATTATATGCATTATGCGCTAATACACTTGAAGGGATAAGGGCTGCATACATCAGCAGGGAGCCTCATACATTGGGTTCACCAATTTTGTACCCTTTAAACCAAGGTTCGTCGTACCACGTTGTATCGCTCCATCACGGACAAAGCTATAAACAGGGTGTTCGATGTAATGCTTATGTATGTCCGTGTCTTTCGATTTTATTCATGCTTTGCATAGCATGTAGAGGGTTTGCAGTAGGCTTGGCAGCTCTATTTTGATTGGCTTTTGTAGTTGTTTAAAGCTTGTAAACGTAGGTTGTGTGCAGTCGTCGTATAGAGACAAAATTGCTCAGAAACAAGCTATCTAAGTAGCCATTTTTGGGGTTTTCTAGCTCCACAAAGTGGTGCGGAATGTTAGCCAGCACAACACCTAGGAGCTACTCGGGTGGCACGATTAGATGCGCCTTTGGGGTAGTGTCTAGGGTTGGTTCGTTGCTTTGTTCCGCAGTAGTATCATATGGGCACTTGTAGGGACTTTTGGCTGCGGCGGACCACCTTGGACCCAGTGATTTAAAAAGTGCTAGGCGCTAAGGTCCAAAAACACCCGAGCGCTCGCTCGAGCTAAGCGAGACGCTAAAATATAAAAATATATAATATAATTAATAAATATAATTATTTAAATAAAAGTATGATATTAAATTAAGAAAATCTTGTAAAATTACAATATCACATTAACAAAAAGTCTCAAAATTCAAAACAATAACAATAATTTCAAATAAATAAAAATTAACAGTATTAAAATCAAAATAATATATTATTAATATAATAAATAAAAATATTGTTACTTGTATACAGTTAGTAGTATACTGTTAATATACTGTTAACAGTATACGAAGTGAGAAGAGTATGAGTAAGAGGAAGATCGTAGCTGCTGACTGAGAGCAGCGGTAGCGAGAGTGGCGAGCGACGACAGTGGCAGCGATAACAACGAGCAACGGGAGCGGCAAGCAACGATAGTGGTAGCGGCAGCAGCAACGGTAGCAGCAATGGAAGCCAGAGCGACGACGGTGGCAGCGGTAGCAGCAAGCAGCGGCAACAGGAGCGGGAGCGATGAGCGACGACAGTGGCAGCGACAGCGGGAGTGGGAGCGGCGAGCGACGACAATGGCAACGGCAACAGTAGCAGTGAGCAGCGGGAGCGGCAACAGTGGCAGCGGTAGAAGCGAGCAACGGTAGCGGCGAGTGACGATAGTGGCAGCGGTAGCAGCAAACAACGGGAGCGGGAGCGGCGACAATGGCAGCGGTAGCGGTAGCAACGAGCAGCAGCAATGAGAGCGGGAGTGGCGAGCAGGGTTAGGGTTGGGAAGTCGCGAGAGGAAGGCTGATATCGGTGGTTTAGTTGGTTCGATTGAACCAACTAAAGCACTGGAGACCGAACCAGACATAAAATGTTGGTTCGGTCGCTTGGTTTAACCCGGGCGCTCACTCGAAGCGCCCGACGCCTAGGCTCGGGCGAGCGCCTAGGCGGCGCCTCTTTGAAGTGCACCGCCTAGAAATGAAGTGAAGTGCTCAGGCCTCGCCTCGCCTCGCCTGAGCGCCTAAGCGAGCGCCCGAGTGCCTAGGCGAGCGCCCGAGTGCCTAGGCGAGCGCCCGAGCGCCTATTGAAATCACTGCTTGGACCATTTAGCGTGCGATCATTCAAAGTTTGCAAAGTCTATGTTTGTAATTTGCATTGCGTATCAAGTGTTTGCTGAAATGGCTACTTGTGGATCCCGAGTTAAACGCTTCCTCTAACCTATTTTCTCTTTTGCAGATCCTTAAGAGACCATAAGAGGTTTTAGGGAGATTGACTTTTTACGGATGGACATGCAAGGGTGCCGCACAACTTAGGCAAAACCAGCTAAGTCCGTGATAGCTCGATACGGGCGGTATGTACCGATCCAATAGCGGATCAATATGGGCGGTACATACCAATCTATCAGTACACCCCATCATACCATGTGTCGATACATCGGTACATAGTGTACCAACCACCGGTTGGTACACCGGTATGGACTAATAAGGCGAACCATACTTTATACATATGTATTATGTATAATAAGTTACTATAAAGCAAGGTATGCAATACCGTACCGTACCGGTGTTTCGAGGTTGGCTCGGTACGGTACGGTACCATGTACCGAGCGGTACACAAGTGTCACGAACGGTCGTCGCGCACTCGCAACAACTCCATTCAACGAACTATTCGTCTCTCACACCTACATGTATAGCTGCTTAATAATATGTTTTCTCTTGATTTTGGGTCATTTTGCTTGTAAAAATATAAGTTCGAACAAGTTGTAGCGTTACAAAGCGACCGCTCACCGAACCGAGCAAAACAACCCCAAAACAGCCCAAAACAGCTCCATTTTCGTGTGCCGCGGTGTCACGGACTTAGCTGGTTTTGCCTAAGTCGTGCGGCACCCTTGCGTGTCCGTCCGCAAAGGCC